AACTTTTAGGGCGGCCTCTAATCACCCTTGCAGGTGTTCCCATGGTTCAAACCATATTTCCACGTAATCCAATATGGTGTGGTAATCTTGTATTAAATGTTTTATGATGTGTCACATGGCCTGGAGCATGTCGGCGGCTGGGTAGTGGAGGTAGTGGAGGTAATGGAGGTCTGCCGGGCTGTTGGGAGTAGGCAGATGATCTCTGTTCCCGTGTCCGTTGAGCCTGGAGCCTGAGGTCCAGAGTTTTGCTTCCCTTGCTCTGTAGGGCTTCACTCCTGCGTGAGTCTCTGCCTGAGTGTCCAGAAAGCATCCTAGAATGTGTCGGCGGCCATGTAGTAGAGGTAGTGGAGTAATGGAGGTGTGCCGGGCTGCTGGGAGCAGCCAATAATATATGGAAAGTATATTCCTATTCATTAATTTTCTTAGAAGTGCAAATTAAAATAGCAACGAAACAAGAAAAAGATGGAAACATTGGGTAATGCTTGATTAATAAATAAATAAATAAATCTTGGGAAAAACATCCAAATGTTCAAATTTATTTCTAAGTAATATAACTGTATCCCAGAACAAAAATATACTTTAAATGATGCCCAGAATATTCAGTAGCTCAAAATATGAAAACTCTATTACGCAAAAAAATTCTCAGGTATACAAATAAAATGGGCACATAGAAGAGGCAATGAATCAAGTCCATAACTCATAAGTAGCACTGCATTGTAACACTGTTCTCCCGTTGTTCATTCATTTGCTCAAGCGGGCCCAGTAACGTCTCCATTTTGAGACTTATTGTTACTGTGTTTGGCATATTGAACACATCACGGGTAGCTTGCCAGGCTTTGCCGTGCAGGCGAGATACTCTCAGTAGCTTGCTGGGCTCTCCGAGAGGGGCAGAGGAATTGAACCCGGCTTGGCCAGGGTGAATGTGAGCAAGGCAAATGCCCTACAGCTGTACTATCACTCGTGAGTAATGCATACAATTAAAACTAAGAGTTGGTTTGGTGAGGAATGTGGCTGAGTGGTCAAGTACATATATTGCATATCTAAAACCCTGGATTTTATCCCTGGCGCTGAAAGGAAAAACAATAAATAAAATCTAACCATTAAGTAAGAATAGATAATACTCCAATTCTAAATATAACAGTATATATTCAAAAAGAGCACTTTCCTTGTATGTATAAGGCCCTGGGTTAGACCCCACACACACACAAACACACATGCACACATACATACATACACCACACACACACACACACACACACACACTTAAAGAGATTTCAAGAAAAAAAATAAAAGGGAAGTTTTTAGGGCATCTGCCTTGCACGCAGCCAACATGGCCGACCCGAGTTCGATTCCTCCGCCCCTCTCGGAGAGCCCGGCAAGCTACCGAGAGTAGTCGATATGCCAGACACAGTAACAACAGTCTCCAATGGAGACGTTACTGGGCCCGCTTGAGCAAATCGATGATCAACGGGAGGGCCCTTATTAATGCCTCTTAGTTCATTCTTCAAAAGCTTTTAGCCCTGACAACATCTTGTCATGACCTTTCCGGCAAGCTACCGAGAGTATTCGATATGCCAGACACAGTAACAACAAAGTCTCCAATGGAGACGTTACTGGGCCCGCTCGAGCAAATCGACGATCAACGGGAGGGCCTTTACCTTTACCTTTTTTTTTAACCCCACTTTAAATATAGGCACAAAGAGTTTAAAGAAAAAAGTATGTAAAATGTTCAAGTATCAGTGTTCTGTAATTCAGATCTAAATAGAACTATATTAATAGTGACTATGTTAATATCAAACAATATAGATGGCAAAGAACATTACCAGGGATGATAAAATATATTTTATAGTTATAAAAGTTATTTCATAATGATATGAGTTCAATATATCACATATACAAAAGTCAGAAACATTTAAATGCTTATTGAAAAAGTTAAAAAAGGTATGAAGCACTGGTGGGAGTATGGATGTTGGAACATTGTATGACTGAAATCTGACCATGATCAGCTTTGTAACTCTGTATCTCATGGTGACTCAATAAAAAATATTAATTAATTAAATGTATCAAGGAGGGCCCGAGTTCGATTCCTCCGCCCCTCTCGGAGAGCCCGGCAAGCTACCGAGAGTATTCGATATGCCAGACACAGTAACAACAAAGTCTCCAATGGAGACGTTACTGGGCCCGCTCGAGCAAATCGACGATCAACGGGAGGGCCTTTACCTTACCTTTTATCAAGGAGGGCTAGAACAAGAATACAGCAGATAAGGCACTTGCATGTGCACAATCCAGGACCATAGTGGTAACCCTATGTGGTCCCCCTAGCCCACTCTGAGCCCACCAGGAATAAGACCTGAACACCACCAGGTATGACCCAAAAACAAAATTAAAAAAAAGAAAAAACAGTGTCAAAAAAATTTTTGTCAGAACTCTGAGAAGAGAACAAATCCAGAATCATACTCATACATTTCATTGTCTCTCAATAATTAACAAAACAGATACAGAAAAACAAGAATATAGAATATTTGAATATATTAGTCTCTTGCCTAATAAACTCTTATAAGATATTCTACTCAACAGGAACATAAAATATATCCTTTTCAAATATACATGGAAGATTCACCAAGAATGACAATGTCCTGAGTCACTAAAATATCTCAGTAAATTTTAAAAGATTGCAGTATATATTTTTTCTGACTACAATACAAATACATTAGTAACAAAATAATGTCCTCCAAAATCTCCAAGTATTTGAAAACTAAATTGCATGCATCTATGTAATATATCAGTCAAAGAAAATATAAATAAATTAGAAAGTACTTTGATCACAAAAATGAGACTACATAGTTTATGGTATTCTTCTAATAGGACATGAAGGGGAGATTTATAATACTAAATACCTACTTTTAAAAAAGTCTCTAATCATCTCAGTTTCCATATAAATTAGCTATGAAACAAAGAGAAAATACAAAGCACAAAAATTAAGACAATAAATACTAAGAAAGAAATCAATGAAATGTTAAACATAAAGGCAATAGAGAAAAATTAATAAAACATACTTTAGATCTTAAATTAGATTCTATAAGTTAATCAACCTCTACCCAGAATGAATATAAAAAGTAGATTTTATACAAATATACTAAGTATTTGTGATCATCATGGACATACAAATAAAAAACATATGAGGATGCCACCATATCCCTTTATAATAATAAACTTTAAGAGCACAGTCATATGAAGTAATGCTGAGATATAGAGCAACAAAAGCTCAAACACTACTGGTGGGACTATAAAAAGGTGTAAACAAATGAATGAAGAAATTATGGCACATCTATACAATGGAACACTATGCAGCTGTTAGGAAAAATGAAATCATGAAAATTTACTGATTCATGGATGGACAATAAGAGTATTATGCTAAGTGAAATGAGTCAGAGGGAAAGGGACAAACAGAATGATTGTACTTATTTGTGGGATTAAAAAAAACATAGTATGTGACTAATAGGGCTGGAGCGATAGTACAGTGGGTACGGCATTTGCCTTGCACGCAGCCAACCTGGCTGACCCAAGTTCGATTCTTCCACCCCTCTTGGAGAGCCCGAGAGTATCTCACCCGCACGGCAAAGTCTGGCAAGCTACCCATGACGTATTTGATATGCCAAACACAGTAACAACAAAGTCTCACAATGAAGACATTACTGGGCCCTCTCGAGAAAATCGATAAACAGTGAGAGGACAGTAACAGTGACAGTGACTAATACCCAAAGACATAGAAAAATGGCCAGGAGGACTGGTCCATGGTAGGAAGCTTGTGATAATGGGGAAAGGGGAGTGCAGGTAGGACAGAGAAGGGACCACTATGACAATGATAGCTGGACATGATCACTCTGGAGAAGAACTGAGTGCTGAAAGGAGCGTAAGTGATACTTTCAGTTAGAGTATTGCAAACCACAGTGCCTAGAAGGGAAATGAAAGAGAGAGAGAGAAGAAAAGTGTCTGACATAAAGGCAAGCTAAGGGGACAGAGCAGGACGGCCAGGTAGGAGGAAAACTGGGGACATTGATGGAGAGAAATGTGAACTGCTCAATGGCTGGAGTTGGATCATTGACTGAAACTCAATCACGAACAATGCTATAGCTATGTATCTCACAGTTATTCAATTTAAAAGTTTAAAATTACTTTAATTAGAAATAAAATGACAGTCTAGTGCTAGGGTTCAACTTGGAGATCAAAACATTGCCACATGTTATTCTTATGCTGTCTAAGTGCATTTTATGCTATAAAGATGATTCCTGTCTTAAAAACAAAACAAAAAAAAAGTTCTGTCTATTTTTTCCTGGCAGTTTTCCAGTCTGCAGAAGGAACTAACTTCTAGCTGGCAGATGCTGGTGGTTAAGTACTAAAAGTTTATTCAAAGATATTGCATTTCTTTTATTTCTTTTTGGGCCACACCCAGTAGTACTCAGGAGTTACTCCTGGCTTTACTACTGGAAGGATTTAGGTAGTAGGTTTACTACTGGAAGTGCAGGGGGATCATATGGGATGCTGAGGTTCAAACTTGGGCAGATCTTGTGCAAGACAAGTGTCCCATATTTCTGTACTATTGCTATAGTCCCTCAAAGATACTGTCTTAAAAAACATTTTCTTGAATTTCATAGGAAAAATTATAAAACTGAATGATATTTCTTCATATATCGGTTACTAATAGTCATGTATTTTGAACCTAATAATAATCATAGGGAGTAAATGTTGCCCAGCAAGGCATTCATCACATTACATCCAGAACTGCTAAGTTTAAAGCTCATGAAGATTTCAAGATAGATTAGACACCCAGGAACAGCCCTATAGCCTCTCAGTGAGAACCATGCTTAAAAGTTCCATCCAAGTAACCAGAGTCAGATCTTGAATTTGCCACACACTCCCCCCGTGCCACCACCCCAAGCAAAAATGTCACTGTCCCTGATGTGTACATTTCTTCAAATATTATTTTATTCATTTCACAGGTCTCCTGTAATGGCTGGCGGTCTCTTTGCTGTGGATCGAAAATGGTTTTGGGAGTTGGGTGGCTATGATCCAGGTTTAGAAATCTGGGGAGGAGAACAGTATGAAATCTCCTTTAAGGTAAGTCACCAAGACACTCTTCACACTGTGTCTGCATGACTTTGATGACCCTGATAGAGCAGCATCATTTTCATTTGGGGCCTATGTACTCAGATAAACATAGCACCTTCCCAAAAAGCTTCAGGATAGAAGAAGCTCTTTTCTACTGATGCTCCATAAAATTTCACCCTAACAGCAAAGAAATATAGAAATCATTCAAAACTTCTCAGCAGCAGGAAACTAGGGGTGTCCAGAGTTACTGCTGCACTGACACACATATTCCTTGAAAGCTTGTGGAGTGGATAAACATCAATGAAAAAGAAACAAGTTGAGTGATTGGAATGTTGGCCTTTCATAATTGTCCTAGAAATAGTTGTTCACATTTCTATCATAACCAGTTATTTCACAATCTTGATATCAGAAGGGTGATTTTAAAATATATTGGAATATGTATTTTCCATCCAATTCCAAACCAAGTGAGTTTTTAAATTCTATTTACTTTTTTTATTTTGCTGGAGCAGTGCTGTTGTATTCAATATGCCAAACACAGTAACAACAAGTCTCACAATAGAGACTTTACTTGACCCGCTTGAGCAAATCAATGAACAATTGGAGGACAGTGACAGTGACAGTGCTGGGTTCCAGGAATCAAACCCGGGCCCTCAGACATAGGAGTTTTTGTTCTTCTGCTGTCACATCCTTAGTCCCTGACAATTTTTTTTAATCTGAAATTTCCCAGATCTTGACATTTTGAGGTTAAATTTTTTGGCTTTTTTTTCTTTTTGGCTAGAGGAAGGGAGGGATATACATCACAAGTGGTTCCCAGAAGATATGGGAGGCAGGGAGAGGACCCAAGCAATTCTCGGCCAACTAGGCTACAAGTTCAATGCCAGGGACCAAAGATGCATTGATGCTTGGGGCCAGCAGTGCCCAGGATTCCGTGGGCCACACCAGTGGAGGCCTGGGGATCTTCAGAGCTGCCTCAAAAATGCTCTGGGAACCATCCAGTGCCAGAGATTGAACCAGGGTTGGCCACTTGCAAGACATGTGCCTTAACCTGTGTCCTCTCTCCCCAGTCTTGACTTGTTTGGACTCTAAATTCTCAGCAAAGAAATATACTTTACTGTGTTTACCTTTATTTTACATATACATGATGTACATTCATGTGATAGAAAATGAAAAGCCAGAGTTTATAAATGAAAAATATTTGGCACAACTAAAGGAAAGAAAATACACACACACACACACACACACACACGTCTCTCACACACACACACACACACACACACAGACAAATGCTACACAGAGGTTCTTTTCCTAACTTCTCAGATACTGGTTTTTTTTTTGAAAAGTATATTCTTAAAGAAAATAAATCCTGTACAGATCAATTGTACAGTGGATAAGGTGTTTGCCTTGCATGATGCCAACTCACCCCATTTGGTCCCCCAAACCTGCCAGGAGTGATCCCTGATTGCAGAGCCAGGAGTAAGCCCTGAGTACAGTAGAATGTGGCCCAAAAATAAAAATGGTATTCTTTTTTTCTTTCTTTCGCTTTGTCATTTTTATTCATGTATATTATGATTCAAGAATCATAAAAAGTGATTATTTTTATGTTGTTCTTAAAAATTGCCTTTTCTTTTTTTATATATAATTTATTTATTGAATCACTGTGGGAAAAGTTACAGAGCTTTCAGAGTTAGGTCTCAGTCATGTAAATATCAAATACATTTCCCTTTACCAATACTTATTTTTTACCGCGAACCCCAATAGAACCCCACTTCCCACCCCTCCCAATTCCTGTGAGGCAGATGAGTTCTAGTTAACACTCTATCTACTTTGACTAGATTCATTGTTTCGATAAAAGATGCACCATTATTATTTAGATTTTACCCACCCCCCCCCCCCCAAATCAGACATGCTGAAAAAGCGTTGTGAAATGATTTGCTTTCTACAGCTGGGTTTAAGAATTAAATGTTGTCACCCGCGGCTGCGCGGTTTTGGATTTCTGCTATTTTACTTATTAACCCTGGAAGTATTTCTACTAAAAGTCAGATAATTAAGAGATTGGTTTCTGTGCTCTGGAGTCGTGGCCGTGCCAGAGAGTCGCTCGTGGGGGGCAACTGGTGATCTCGGTAGGGCATGAAGGACGGACCGGAATGCCCCTGTTCCCATGAGGTTTTTGTCACCCCCGACCCCCGGCTCATACCCGCTGTCCACAAGGCTCCCGTGCGGCCGCCATCTTTCTTTCCAGAGAGGAGAGGGCGAATGGGGCAACACCCTTTCCCCTCCGGGCAGGCATAATAGCGCGGTTTAACGCATAGTCCGTTCACTTTTCTGCTCCAAGCTGCTGGTTTTCTGCGTTAAGTCCTTGTGCTTCTGGGGCCATGGCAAAAATTGCCTTTTCACCAAATCAATTTTTTCCAATTATTCCCAGTACAAAATTAAACCAATTCTTATATCCTCCATAAAATATGTAACCTGAATATATTCAAGTAAAACTTAAGAATTGGCTGGAGCGATAGCACAGCGGGTAGGGCGTCTGCCTTGCACGCAGCCAACATGGCCGACCCGAGTTCGATTCCTCCGCCCCTCTCGGAGAGCCTGGCAAGCTGCCGAGAGTATTCGATATGCCAGACACAGTAACAAAGTCTCCAATGGAGATGTTACTGGGCCCGCTCGAGCAAATCGATGATCAACGGGAGGGCCTTTACTTTACTTTACTTTACTTTACTTTACTTTACTATTCTAATGCATAAAAAGAAAATTATAATACTGATTTTTGCTAAGCTAAGCTGTGGCAGCTATTCAATAGGTTAGGAGAAAAATTGCATTGTCCTCAAATAATACAATTGCAAGCTTCTAGACATCGAGAAACTTCCAAGTAATCCTTGAAATACCATTAATTAAATGAATAACCATGTTCATACATCTAATTTCATTTTGGAGGAGGGGAAAGACCCCAAGCAGTGCTCGGAGGGCCCCAGGGCCAGTCAGAGTGAATTTCAGGCAAATGAGCTGGGAAGATGAGTACTCAGGTCTTAGGAGAGCTTCTCTGATCCTGGAATGTTGGAGACCATTAGGTCCTCAGTTATGCTTGTGGCTGCTGGAGTTTGTACTCAATTCCACCCCAATCACTGAACCACCTTTCAGGCCCCCCAATTTCTCTTCTATTTCTAAATGTTTATCATGCAATTTAAAAAGCTTTCAATTGGCCAATACTTTTGGGGTTCCTTTGTTGAAGTACTATCTGTGCACTGTCAACTGTAATGCAGGAAGCAGAGATAACAGCAATAGTAATGATTGAAATATCACACTTACTTAGTGGCATGTTCCAGAGTCAAGCTGAGCACTTTAGATGCATCATTTCATTTGAAAGCACAATTTCAAGAGGTGGATGTTATTTTATTTTTTAGCTAGAAGTCAAATCTAAATATGTTAATTTTGTTGAAGTTTTAACAAATTGTCAAAAGCAACCTAATCTAAGAATTGGTTTACAGAATAGAGCTTCCCAGGCATTGAGATGTGGGGCAGGAAAATGAGGGTGGGGGATGGGAGAGAGAAAGCTCTATTCTGTAGACCAATTCTTAGATTCGGATCAATTCTTAGAGGGGATGTTGAGACTGGGGAGAAATGGGGGCTGGAAGACTCTGAGACAGTAGTGGAGGGAAATAGACACTAGTGAGGGGGTGATGTGGAAATGTTGTATGCATGAAACCCTAGCAGTGACTCTACTGTAATTTGTAAATCATGGTTACTATCACAGTCCTCCCGTTGTTCATCGATTTGCTCAAGCGGGCCCAGTAACATCTCCATCATGAGACTTGTTGTTACTGTGTTTGGCACATCGAGTACGTCACGGGTAGCTTGCCAGGCACTGCCGTGCGGGCGAGATACTCTTGGTAGCTTGCCGGGCTCTCCAAGAGGGGCGGTGGAATCTAATTCAGGTCGGCCATGTTGGCCGCTTGTAAGGCAAACGCCCTACTGCTGTGCTATCGCTCCAGCCCATGGTTACTATAATTAAAAAAAAATAGGGTGGAGTTTATGCTCAATTCAATCAGCTTAATCAATGGCTGAATAAATAGCAAAATACTCCTACATTTTGATGTGATAGCACAGCGGGTAAGGTGTTTGACTTGCACACTGCCAACCCAACTAACCTGAGTTCAATTCCTCTGCCCCTCTCGGAGAGCCCGGCAAACTACCAAGAGTATCTCGCCCGCACAGCAAAACCTGGCAAGCTACCCGTGATGTATTTGATATGCTCAACACAGTAACAACAGGTCTCACAATGGAGACGTTACTGGGCCTGCTCGAGCAAATTGATGAACAATGGGAGGATAGTGCTACACTGCTACTTCTACATTTAAAAAAAAAGAAAAAAAGAAATAAAATCTAAAAGGTAAAAAAAATAAAATTAGGTCTTAAGCAGTAAAATATAATGACAAAAAAGGCTAAATAACTTTATTTCTACTTGACCCCAGAACATACCGATGCTTGCTATTGTCCTTACCCAAATCATCTCTGCCATTTTCTAGAATTCACCAAAACCTTGCTCTACATGTCATTGAACAGATATATATCTTCATGATGGATTAATAGCACAAAACTATCTACTGATCCTGGCAAAAATATCATTGATTATGAGATTTGCCCAAAACTGGGTATAGTTTTCAATAATACCTTCAACTGGAAAAAAGAATTTTACATTTCATCTCAGCAGTAAAGGAAAAGTTAACATTACTATATTTGTAGCATTAAAATTCAAGGGATGTTTTTTATTGGATTCTTTTAACTGAATCACAGTGAGATGTACAGTTACAAAGTTATTTATGATTTGGTTTCAGTCATACAATGTTCCAACACCCATCCCTTCACCAGTGCACAGATACTTCAAGGTTATCAGGTGTATCCCTTTACCTACTTTCAACACTCAGTTCTGTCCAAAATGATCATTTCCAACTATTATTGTCATATTGGTCCCATCTCTATCCTAACTGCCCTTCATCTCCCAGACCCTCTTG